AAGCAGCACCTCTCCATGGCCTCTGCATCAGCTCCTGCCTCCAGACTCCTGCTTTGAGTCCTGACTTCCCTTTGATGATAAGACTGTGTTGTGGAAGTGTATGATGAAATTAACCCTTTTCTCCCCAGGTTGCTTTGGCCATGCCATTTTACCACAGCAATAGACACCATAACTAAGACAGTAGCTAACTTTTTTTTTTTTTTTTTTAAATAAAGTTCTAAAAAGGAGAGGGGATACCTTTACCTACCTCACTAGGTTTCCACATTTCAATAAAGAATTCTGATCATAAAAGGAATTGCAAACATATCCTGGAGTTAGTAGAGGCTAAAGGTGTCACCAGATTTTGGGTCTGAGACTTGGCTCTATCACCCATTAGCTATATGACTAGGCAAACCTCAAGTTTGTTGGGAGGACGAGATAACTCTAGAAAACAAGATCACTTCTGCCCACGGGGTTCACAGGAAAGGAAGCGGAGGTCCAGACAGGAACACAATCTGTATCTCTAAGACCATCCGCAGAGTAAGTGAGACATGAGACAAGAGATTCTGGGTGGTGCCCTCACATACGAAGTAGTGCTAATGGCTAAGTGAAGACTCAACCCTCTCACTCAGAGACTCAGTTTCCCCCTTGAACTTGGAGTACTCCCCTACCCCTGCCTCCCATGTGCTGGGATTATAGGTGTGCAGCACTGTGCTGACTTTTACATCTCACTCTGGGCCTTATGCACGTCAGGCCTCCAGCCCAGCTTTTTTTTTTTTTAATTAATTTATTTATTATGTATACAGCATGATACAGCATGTATGCCTGCAGGCCAAAGTGGGCACCAGATCTCATTACAGATGGTTGTGAGCCACCATGTGGGTGCTGGGAATTGAACTCAGGACCTCTGGAAGAGCAGTCGGTGCTCTTAACCTCTGAGCCATCTCTCCAGCCCCAGCCCAGCTTTTTAGTTTCCCTTTAATTCCAATAAAGAATGAAGTCATGTCAACTACAAGAAAATGATGCAGCTGCAGCTTATGACATGAAATGAATTAAGTCAGTCTCAGCAAGATAATACTGCATGTTTTCTCATGTGCAATTCCTAGATTTTGTATAGATACATAAAATCACATGTGTATAAATGACATGAATGTAGAAGAGAAACTGCTTAGGGGATCAAAGGGGCTACTGGGGAGGGGTCGGACAGAGAAAGGCAAAGTAGCCGAGTATGGAGAGGGGCTTGTTCACATATATCATACACGTGTGCAACAGGTAAAAACAGAGCGGAACAAAAGAACTGTATTTTCTTTTCTTGGCCATGCTAGGGATTAAACCTAGGGCCTTCCATGTGCCAGGCAAAGTGTTTTACTACCAAGCTATCCCAAGCCCAGCTCTTTATTTAATTCCGGTTCTTCCTTGGAATACTGTCTGGAGGCCAAGGTGGCTAAAGGCAGGGATGGGGAGGACGGCTCTGGAATGGTGTGAGCACATCATGTGTCCCCTCTGACCTCTTCCTCACAGGGCCCAGAGCCTCACCACTGCCACATTCAGACAAGCATACCTTGGGGCCTTCTCGGCGAATTGGTTCACAGGATTTTGGTTTCCATCTGCTTGGGAGGAAAGAAGACAGGTGAATGCTCCAAGCGATGGAGGGAGGGACAGAGCCTGCAAGTTTACTAGGGGTGATGATGGCGCACTGTTTTCTGGCAACTCATTAGAAATAAATAAATAAATAAATAAATAAATAAATAAATAAATAAATAAATAAATATATATATATATATATATATATGAAGCCTGGACCAGAAACCACTTTAGAACCCAGTGATGGGCAAGTCCAGGATTCTCCAAGTCGCAGCTTTCTCATCTGTCGAAAGGAGATAAGGGCAGCAGCTGCCCTGCCCATTTTGTGTTGAAGAGGAATGAAAATGCCTGGTCCACTCAGTGAGTTCCAGCACAGAAAGGGCTACAGTGAAAAACCCTGCCTCCAAGACAGGACAAAAAGGCTTCAGGAAGGATGCTGTAACTCGATACAGATCACACTAACTCTGTGCAAACTCAGACTCTCAACACCAGGAATGAACCCTGCCGTAGCCCATAGGCTGGATGATGGTGTTAAGACACTGTAAATTCATCAACTGTAACAAATGTGCCACTCTGGTGTCAGGTGTTGTCAAAGAGAATCTTTACCCATGTAGGGGGCAGGGAGGGTTTCCGATAGCTCTGTATCTTCTACTCAGTTTGTGATGTAATTAAATTGCTCTATAAATAGAATTTAAAAGTGCTTTTTGATAACGACCAATCTGTAGTAGTGCTTTGCCTTTTAATAATTGTATGACTAATTCTTTTTTTTTTTTTGTGAGTGTCTCATGTAGTTTAGGCTAGCCTTTAAGTTACTATGTAGCTGAGGATAACCAGTAACTCCTGCCTATCCTGCCTTCACTTCCTAAGTACAGGAATCTCAGAAATCTACTACCATGCCCCACTAGGGTATATAATCTGCTAATTGCCCTGTTCTTTAGAGACTAGCTATGAGCTGGTGCCTAGACCAGCTCTAAACATCGAAACATGAATCAGGTCTAGTATTGAATCAAGCTGGAACTGTTCTGGGTTGTAAAAGCAGCATAAAACAACTCTTAACCTATATTGGGCAACCCTCTCCCACAGTACCTTAGACCAATGGACCTGCGTCCGCCACTTTCACCTCTGGCCCTCTTCCCACTCATGGTCACTCCCTCCCTCAGTTCCCTTCAGCTCTTACAGCACTGGTGGCCCCTACTCACACCATGCCAGCAGCTGCCCGGTCATTTGACAGGACGTGTCCAGGAGGCCGACCTTTCCTCTGCACAAAGAACAGCTGTCAGAGCCCTCACCCGTGGGTAAGCATCCCTGCTCTAGTGTGCTGGGCCAGTCAGTTAGTGCAGACAGTTGTCCAGAGAGTGTAGAGCCTTGACCATGGGTAGCATCCTTGCTCTAGTGTGATGGGGCTAGATCAGTTAATGGAGACTGTTGTCCAGAGAGAACAAATGACCTTGGGAGTGCCCCGGGAAGCAACTGTTTTTCACCTTGCCACCCCATGCCTGGAAAAGCCCAAGCCTTCTTTTGGAACAGAAGGGCCCTTTCCCAGCTGTAAGCTCCAAGCACATGCTTGCTTACCTTTTTGGGAATAGGGCTTCCTCGGTGGGACTCCTCTTCTGCTTGCCGGCCACGCTGAAGGGAACAAATGGAAGGGAGTCAGTATTAGGCCAGTGCCTGGGAGCTGCAGGGCCCTTGGACCCACCCTTAGCTAACACCTGACCCAGCTCTCAGGTTCTTTGGGACCTGGCCCTACCTGTGATGGTGTGACATTTCCTGGGTCCACATAGTTTACCTGCCTCCCACCGGACTCTCCCCTCCCAAGGCCTTAGGGCACAATGATTCTGACCTTGATCCCTGGAAGTTCATGGGTCAATCTGGGTATTACTTTTTCTCCATCTGAAAAGAGTAACTTTGCCTGAAAGGGAAAGACCAGTGTTGCCAGTCAGCAGTTTGTAAACACAACTCCAGAATGGTTAACTTTCCCACAGTCAACACAAAGGCAACACAAATAGACACTCACATTTACGTTCAAAGATGAACAAGCCAGAAAAACATTAGCACATGTGTCCATTTATAAAAAGCGGCTATGGAACACATTCTGTTTCTGCTTGTTGACCATGGAGGAAAGGGGAAGGAGCTGCTGAGACACCTACTTACCATCTTTTGTCATGATCATTGTTGAAGAGCTAGTAAAGAAAGGCTGGAGTGTGCTCAGTGTTTGTGAGGCTCTGAACCTGATTCTCAGCCTAACAGCCAGCTCACATTAACATCAGCACTAAGGAGGTGGAGGCATGAGGATTGCTGCATGTTCAAGGCCAGCCTGGGCAACAGTGAAGCAGTATCTAAGAAAACCAAAGAGGTGTGTGTGTGTGTGTGTGTGTGTGTGTGTGTGTGTGTGTGTGTGTGTGTGTGTGTGTGTGTGTGTTCTGGCAGGGAGGGGTGAAAACCCCAAGGAGAGAAGACTTGGCTTGGCAAACAGGGAGGAAGAATGCCATAAGAGCCAGAGTTACAGATAGAGCTGCCATGTGGGTGCTGGGAATTGAACTCAGGTTCTCTATAAGAGCAGTACGTGCTCTTGACCACTGTGCCCTTTCCCCAAGCCCCATACTTTCACATTCTTTTAAAGAAAGATTTGTTTTTATGGGTGTTTGTCTGCATGTATGTCTACACCCATGCCTGATGCCCAAAGAGGCCAGAAGAGGGTTTTAGACAGTTGTGAGCTACCATGTAGATATTGGGAATTGAATTCAGGTCCTCTGGAAGAGCAGCCAGCGCTCTTAACCTCTGAGCCATCTCTCCACCCTCTACTTTTACATCTTAATGCAGCAAGTTATTGCTTCTCAGTCTCTTGGCTAAGATAAAATACAATATCTACTCTATCACTAGGATGCAGCAAGGAGCTCTTCCTTAGTTTGTTAATCCCATCAACACATTTAATCCTCACAACCTTGGAGACAGAACCTATTTACAGCTGAGCAAACAGTAGGTGAGGTAAGTGAGGGATGCCCAAGCTCACACAACTAGTCAATGGATTTGTACTCCTTTTTGTTACATTAACTCACTGTGTGTGTGTGTGTGTGTGTGTGTGTGTGTGTGTGTGTGTGTGTGTGCGTGTCTTCATGCAGTGGAGTTATGTGTGGAAGTCAGAGGACAACTTACAGCTGCTGGTCGTCTTCTTTACCATGTGCTGTCAGGCTTGGGCAAGCACCTTTAATTACTGAGCCATCTTGCCAACCCTTGTTTTGAGACAGGGTCTTTCCATGAAGCCAAGCTCACCTGGGACTTGCTAGGTAGCCAGGCTGGCCTCTAGGTTAAAATCGCCATACCTCTGCCTCCTCATTGCTGGGATTATAGGCTTGGAATATGCCCAGCTTAGCCTATACTCCTAACCATCTTGCAAACATCTCTTGTTATATAAACCAGGCTGGTCTCAAACACATAAACATCTGCCTGGCTCTGCTTCCTGATTACTGAGATTAAAGGCAAGTAGAAATATCTCTTAATGAACATATGCTACCTGAAAAAAATAAAATGAACAATAAAAGCAACTACCTTCTAGAAGAAAACCAAACCATTAAGAGAAAATTCAAGGCAACACTTGGCCACTGAGTTCAGCCATTTCTCCTAACAAACCCGGGAGGAAGGGTTGGGGGGTTAGGAAACACCGCAAAGGGCAAGATGGGGCACACGAAGTGAAGCAAGTGCACAGCACCCACCCACCAAAGCTAGAGCTGCGCAGGGAGCTGGCTCGGTGGGTAAGGCTGCTTGCCATTCAAGCCGACCACCCGAGTTCACCTCGGAACTCCCCAAGGAGAGGAGCACTGACTCCTGCAAGCTGTCCTCTGGCCTCCTGCGCCGACATTAATGGAAAATCAACTATACCACCAACACCAAACTACAACAATCCTAGTGTAATCATCATCATGTTTAGTCTGAAGAATTTTCCTTCTCTTTTTGTTTTTGGTTTTTCAAGACAGGGTTTCTCTGTGTAGCCCTGGCTGTCCTGGAACTCACTCTGTAGCCCAGGCTGGCCTCAAACTCACAGACATCTACCTGCCTCTGCCTCCTGACTGCTGGCATTAAAGGAGCACACCACCACGCCCAGCTATTTATTTATTCATTTGTTTGTTTGTTTATTTATTCAATGTGTGTGGGTGTTTTGTCTGCACACCAGAAGAGGGCATTGGATCCCCTGGGACTACAGTTATAGGCTGCTGTGAGCTGCCATGTAGGTGCTGGGAACTGAACTCAGGACCTCTTGAAGAGCAGCCAGGGCTCTTAACTGCTGAGACATCTCTCCAGCCCATTTTTTTTTTTTTTTTTAAAGACAGTATCTTACTGTGTAGCCCAGGCTGGCCTAGAACTCACTATGTACACCAGGCTGGCCTCAAACTCAGAGAGATCCTCCTGTCTCTATTTCCTGAGCCCTGGTACTACATGTATATGCCATCACATCTGGTTTTGTGAGGAAGAATCCTTTCTGTTATGACTGTAACTGCAATGTAGTTAACATCTTGTATGTTGGTGTTGCCTGTGCTGGGCTGTGAGTTTAAACACAATGTTCCATCCAATGCCCCAGCAAAGCCCTGATGATAGGGAATGGCTCTATTTCCCGCTTCAGAGACAAGAAAAATGAAGCTTAGACGCTGAAGGAACTTGTTCTAACTTTCCTGTGCCCCACGACTGTGCTTTCAGCACTTCAGCACTGCTAGGCCGACGTGTGTGGCACGTATGCGCATCAGGAGACTGGAAAGCAGCAATGTAATGATATGGATCATGACCACTTTAAAAAAATTATTTCAGCCGGGCGGTGGTGGTGCACGCCTTTAATCTCAGTGCTCAGGAGGCAGAGGCAGGTGGATCTCTGTGAGTTCGGGGCCAGCCTGGTTTTTCTGATCATTTGTGCATGTGTCTGTGGTGTGTGTTTAGGCATATATACTTTAACACACACGTGGGTCAGGGGCAACTTTGTGGAGTTGGCTCTCTCCCCGCTAGCTGGGTTGGGGGTTGAACTCAGGTTGTCGGGCTGTTGTGAAGTGCCTTACCCACTGAACCATCGCCCCCATCCCTTCCTCATCTTTACCTCTTGTCTAAACTCCTCACGAGTCTCCTAACCCTTCTCCCGTCTTCCTTTTTCCTTCTGTAGAGCTAGGGACAGAACTCAGGCAAGCACCGTGCCGCGGAGCTACACTCCAGTCAGAAGAGTCTTGTGGAAATGCAGACCCCTCAGGCCACTCTTGTGGTCACACATGCACGCCTTCCCCTGGGCTTGAGTGCTCGGCCTACTTCTGCAGCCACTCATGCACTACCACACTACGTGTGACACTAGCGACACCCGCCGCTCCCGCTCCTTAGATACACTCACCCTTCTGCCCCTCGACTCCTCATCCAGCACTCTCGCCAGACAACCACTTGTCAAGTACCATCAAGGGTAAGGACTATGCCCACTCTGCACACTGCTGGGGCCTGATACTAAGACGCACAAAGTAGTTCCTCAATAAATAACAAGTGGAGAGATGAATAAAAAGATGGGGACCAGTGAGAGCTCAGGAGGTAAATGCACTTGCTGCCAACCTCATGAGCTCAGTGAGTTCATGCTCAGGACTCACCTGGTGGAAGGAAGAACTTCAGAAAACTGCCTTCTGACTCTATGTACTTGCCATGGATCATGTGCACATGCACTCAGTACTTGCCATGGAATGAATACACACACACACACACACACACACACACACACACACACACACACACACGAGGGATTTGAGAGCCACATAAGTGAAGATCTTCTCAATTTAGTACTGCTTTGGCTCAACCTTATGAAAACACTATTAGCAAATGTGTGTTGTTAGCAACGGTTACAATTGCTCATATTCAACACTCCTTCCTGGGGTAAAGAAGCTAGCTTCTCAGGAATTTGGTAGCTTAGACTTCCGTATCTGAGAGGCAGGTCCGTTTTCACTGTTCTGCAGGGTAGAGCTGTGCCCTTCCAGAGCTCAGGTCCAGGAAGTGGCTTTGCTCCTTTCTGAGGTTCCGAGTAGCTTGTCTTTCACAGTCAAGCAAAGCATGTGGCCCATGCTGACAATCCCTATTAAATGCAGCAGCTGACACAGACGGACAGGTTCTCTAGTACAGTTCTTAGAGTACAGTCATATACAGAACTGATGTCAGCTCTCCTGAGGACACCTGAGATACGGGAGGTGCAAAGGGTGCTAGGTCCCTCAGGCCCTCAAGGGACCCACCAACCATTTGCAGAGGCGAGGCGCATCATGAATTACAACTTGTTTTCCTGGCTTGCCTTTTTAAAAAATGTTTGTTTACTTACTGTGTGTGTATATGTGTGTGGGTATTCACGTGTAGGTCAGAGGACAACTTTCAGGAGTGGGTTCTGGGAAATTAAACTCAGGTCATCTTGCTTGGGGGCAAGCATCTTATTGGCTCTAGTTTGCCTTTTAAATTTTTTTCTAGCTTTATTGTGGTGAAACTGACAAACATGTTACATACACGAGGGTACAATGTGTATGAAATGATTATCACCGTTTTATATCATCACCACACGCAGTTCCCACTGTGTGTGTGTGTACGTGTGTGTACACTTAAGAAGTACCTTCTTAGCAGGCATCAAGTAAACTAGAACGTCCACAACTACTGTCACTGTTCTGCGCATCAGCTCCCAGAACGAACCCACCCTACAACTGCCAGCTTCCTTAGCTCCCCAGGGAACCACCGTCTCATTCTGTGCCTGTGAGTCTGCTACGCACACTTTCCTCACGTCAAACAGGACTGGACAAGCAGTCCTTACAGGGCTTTTCCCGAGACCTAAGGGAGATGATGATGCACCTGACATAGCACCTGGCACACACTTGAGCTACTTTTCCTTCCCGTGTGTCAGCAACTGTCCTGAGCTCTTCCTGGGTAAGTCTTCCTGACGTGCCCCGAGTCCCACTGGTGAGAGAGCACTTTTCTTACTGACGTAGTGACGCATCCTGTCTGCACCCCTTGGCCTCACCTGCTCCAGGCAGCTCCGGCAGGCCTCCTGAATCAGCTGCTCCGCGTCCACTTCTTCCCCGACATTGTCTCGCACATTCAGTGCTGCCTTCTGGAAGAACTAGGGGAGGACATCAGGACAAGGTCAGAAGACCTGAAGTGGGCATTAACCAAAGGGAATATATGTAATGTGCTAAGACTGCGGATGGCTGTTGGCTTTGCTTATACACAGCCTCTCCATTTCATAATCGCACCTAAAGAAAGAAGGCTGTGCCTGAAACAAATGGACCAATGCAGGCAGAAAACATCAAGACAACGGGAAGTCACAGATTTTCAGTACTCAATCCCTTACCTGTGGGACAGGGAAGGTGACCTGTCCAAGAATCCAGGATACCAGCAACAACAACAGACAAAAAGACTAAGTAGGCAGAGGCTTTCTCTGCTGGGTGAGAGGGAGAGCGTGATTCTAAAAACACCAAGGACCACACGATGAGGCCCCAAACATCTGAGAGGTGCCTGGGAACACATTTATTTAACTGTCCAAGTTGGATCAAGGAGATGCTTCAGTGGGTAAACACAAATACAGCATTTTAAAAACACCCAAATTGTATCTCTAAGAGAAAATATCGGTTCTCTCTTGGATACAGGAAAATTCTGGAAACTACAAACAACACCTTTAGCCTCAGCACTGGGAAGGCAGAAGTGGGGCTCTGTTAGTCCCAGGCCAGCCTGGTCTACAGAGTGAGTTCCAGGCCATCCAGGACTATGTAGAGAGGCCTTGTCTCAAAACAAAACAACCAACACAACCAGGGAGAGCACATGAAGTGATTGCACACGGCACCACCGTCTGGAGAGCAACTTCCTTTCCCTAGTACTCCTTAATTCCACCTCGAGGAACCGACCCCTCAGAAACCTCTCCAGTGACTAAAGATGAATAAAGATGTGTCAGTGCAGTATAGTATTTTTAAATTTAAATTACATTATCTCTTTATGTATTTATTTAGTATGCACGTGGAGGTCAGAGGACAGAGTGCGGGAGTTGGTACTTTCCTTCCACGATGTGGGTCTGGGGACTGAACTCAGGTCTTCAGTGTAGTGACCAGTGCCTTTACCTGCCGAGCCATCTCATTAGCCCCACTGTAGTATTTCTTGGACACGAGAAAAACTGTAAACAACCAGAATCTCCTAGGAACTAGCTAATTAAGTTTCGGTATATTGACGGAGGACAGACTCTGTAACTATTATCAAAAAGTAGGGTGAACTACTGTGACGATCTAGAAACATTACCAACATATGTTAAGTGAAGTCAGTCAAGGGTGTGTGGAAGAGACATAGCTGGAGGACTGTGCAGTCACTGTGGGCAGTTAGCTATTCCTGGAAGGCGAGTCTTAGTGACTTCAGCTGTTATTTTTAAAATATTTAGATTACTTTATAAGGAATATTTTCTCTTTTGCTTTTAACATCTAAAAATTAGCACTATTGTGTGTGTATGTGTGTGCACGCTGGTGCCACAGTGTGTGCACAGAGGTCAGAGGGCAATTCTGCGGAGCTGGTACTTTCCTTTCACCATGTGGGTTCTGGGACCCCACTCTAGGGTGTCAGGCTTCAGGACAAGTGCCTCCCCACCGAGCTGACTCAGGGGCCTGTTTTCTGTTTTTACAACAGGGCATCACATCCCCAGGCTGACCTCCAACTTGATATGTAGCTGAGGATGAGTCTGAACTGCTCATCTTCTTGTCTCTACCTTCCATGCTAAGATTACAGGCATGCACACATCTGCCTTTAGAGAATATTTTATCAAAAATTTGAAATAGAAAAGTCGAATTATCCAATAAATACCTAATACCCTTCTACCCTCCACATACACAGTCCAAAGTTTTTTTTTTTTAAATATATTTTTATAATTTTACAACATTTTAGATTTATATGTCGTGTATGAGTGTTTTGCCTGCATGGATGTCTGTGCACCACATGTGTGCCTGGTGCCTGAGGTGTCAGAAGATGTTGCTGGTCTCCTGGAACTAGAGTTATGAGATGTGAGCCACCATGTGGGTGCTGGGAATGGAACCTGGGTCCTCTGCAAGAGCAACAAGTGCTCTTAACCACCGAGCTGTCTCTCCAGCCCTGGTTTGTTTTTTTTTTTTTAAATCTTAAATTGATATATTTTTACTTCAAAGGTATTTCTGGCAGCTGTAGGGAGGGCAGGTTTAAAAGAGGAAAGAACAGTCGTATCTGGACAATAGCAGATGTAGCCCAGGCTGGCCTCGAACTCACACAGATGTGCCTGCTTCTGCCTTCTGGATGCTGGAATTAAAGGCGTGCCTGGCCTTTTCTTTTTAAGATTCCCCCCCCAAATATTTATATGTACATATCTGTATATATGTGTACATATGTACTGTGTGTATATCTGCAGAGGCCAGAAGAGGGCACTGGACCCTGGACCTGGAGTTACAGGTGGCTGGGCGTGGCCTGATGTCGGTGCTGGGAACTAAAATGAGTACTCTGCAAGAGCAGCAAACACTCCTAACCACTGCGCACTTCTCCAGCCTCCATTCCTTTCTTCCTCAACCAAGGGCTCTTACCATGCTGTCCCAGCTGGCTGTCAGCTGCTGCAGCCCCGAGTGGCTGCCCCCCCCCCTCCCGACCCTGGCTGTGCTCTTTGTTTTAGCAGTGCTGTTAGCTTTAATCCCCATGCTCCTCTCACCTTCATGTACTTGTTGAAGACACTCTGGATCTCCTCATTGATGCTTGGCTGCAAGACCGCACGGAGGAGATCCATAGAGATAGCGGGATCCGTGAAACTGCATTGAGGAGGAAGACAGAGTTAGGGGGAGTGTCCCAAACATACTCCCCAGATTGTCCAGCAGTACTGGACAAAACCAGCTTTGTGCTCAAATTCTGGGCAGATCACAAAGACACATAATTTTATTCATCATAACTCTCTCTGTGAAGTGAGAATTACTTTAGAAAGTGTTTAATGAGCGCCAGGCGGTGGTGGCACACGCCTTTAATCCCAGCACTCCGTAGGCAGAGCCAGGTGGATCTCTGTGAGTTTGAGGCCAGCCTGCTCCACAGAGTGAGCTCCAGGACAGGCACCAAAACTACACGGAGAAACCCTGTCTCGAACACCCCACCCCCACACCCGCAAAAAAAGTGTTTAATGAAATATATATTAAGACAGGGTCTCCCTGTGTAGATCAGGCTAGCCTCAAACTCAGAGATCCATCTGCCTCTGCCAAGTGCTATGATTAATAAATTATTTTCAATACCCCGGCCAAAAATACAACTAGAATACCAAAGGCCCATCCTGGGTTCTTTTCCTTCCCTAGGCTAGACACTTAACTAGTAGCCCCACATCACAGCTGAGAAAACAGAGGCTAAGAAAATTAAGGGACTGTCCAAAGTTATCCGGTTAATAATCTTCAGAGCCTGTATTACAACAGTTGTCTGAATCTTGGTTTTATGTTCTCTGACTTAGAGATCTCAATCACAGAGACGGAAAACTTTAGCGTTCTTAGTAGACGGTTGTTTTTCTTTTGGAAGTGGAACTGACTTAAGGTCACAGGAAGAATCACAGCCTGAGTTCCCCCCTCCCCGCCCCCCAGTTGATGTCAGACTCCTGCAGTGGGATTCCTAAAACACTCGCCCAAGTCCACATAACCGGATACAGGTCTTACCCAGGGCCAGCCTTACCTTGTGGTCATCTGAGAGCGGCGGCCCCTTCGCTGCACCTGCCGGTGTTTTATCATTATGTTCCAAGGGTTCTGCGGGGACCAAGTGGGCAAATGTCATCGAGGTCCCTCATAGTGGGGACGAGGAGAAAGTGGATACAAAGCTAAACCTAGATGTTTTTGCTTCTCACTTTTCCCACCATGGGGTGAAAGGGAATTCAGTGGCTGGAAGACCTTGTCAGGGTGGGGGACCTGGGAAAATGTTTTCTGCCTCAAACGTCCAAAGCTCGCTTGTTCTGGAAGGGCAAGAGGAAGAGCAGCAGTGTTCACCGAGGGTCTGCTCTGTGGCGGGTGATGCTAGGGCGCTGTACCCGCCTTTATCAGCCCATCCCACCACAACTCCATCAAGCTGGGGTTACTGCTGTTCTTTTCACAGAAGAGAAACCTGGCGCTCAGAGGTGGTCACATCAGGCCCACCTAGCTAGAATCTGAATCCAGGTCGTCGCACGGAGAAAACGGCACCCCCAGGGCCGCACAGCCGCCGCGTTCTCTTGCCCGCGGGCCCGGAGCCCGGGGGGAGCCCGAGGCCCTGCCGGGCCCGAGCCCCGACCTCGCCCGGGCGCCCTCACCGTGAGAACCGGCTGCCCCGCCGCGCCCGCGTCGCCCAACTCCAGGCCGCCTCGTTCCGCCACGCCGGGGCCCCGCGGCTGCTCGGTGTCGCCAGTCGCCCCCATGGCGCCCCCGGCCCACAACAACCTCAGCTCGACTCAGCCACCGGAAAGCGGCGCCGTGACGTCACGGGAGCGCCCTGGCCACCCGGCCGGAAGCGCGACGCGGGTGCCCAGTGCAGTTGCTATGGGAACCGAACTGCCGCCGGGGAGCCACGTCTCGGTGGATTTCCGGATCTTGGGTGTAGGGGACGAGGTTGGGGCTTCCAAACCCCTGGAAGACGACGGCTGGGGACCGAGTGTGGGTGTTGGGGTACCATCCAGTCAAGGGACCCGTGCGGGTGTGAGGAGCTTAGACGGCAGCTGGGGAGCACAGGGTTTCGCATGGGGGCTGTCCGAAGTTCAGTCTTGAAAACTGCAGGAACATCTGATAATTTGGCACAAGGCCCCAGAAAGCCAACAAAAGGAGGGCCGCTCGTGCCGTCCCAAATACCCACTAGCCTCGGGGGTCTGCCTCTTTTGTCTGAAGACATCAGAATGAAGGTTGAGTTTTGGCTTGTGAACTAATTTGTCCTGTTCCGGAGAGCTGGCTTTCCTTCCCCCCAGATGGTTGATTCTGGGATAGGTTAGGGATGAAGGGTTTAGCAACTGTGGCGTTCTCTAGAGCCCCGCTTTATTGTCTCAGAGGTAAGCTGTGTCAGTGAGAGAACTGGATTTATTTATGGGTGATAACGTTACTTTGTGCAGGTTATAGTAATCAGGTAGTGTAAAGTGTATGAGTTTTGCATTAGGAAAGATGTAGGTTCAAACCTGTTGTGATGTGATTGTTAACCTTGGCTATGGGCAGGTGTGATGTTGTACATAATCCCAGAACTCAGGAAGAAGCAGCAGGAGGCTCGGGAGTTTGGGCTGCATCGCAAGACCCTGTCTTAAAGCAAAGCGCCAAGAACATTGACTGTGGGACCGGATCTTTGTTCTCCTGCATACTAATTGCCCGGTCACTCTCACTCTCTTCCTCAAGGACCAAGCTGTAAACTGTTTGTACATTTTTATTAATGCTGGAACACTTGGATGCTGCTTTCCTGTCGGTTCTGACAGTTCCCCAGGATGGGACAGAACGCTTCAGTTACACCACTAGCTTACTATTTTCTTATTAAGTTGTCTTTCCAGTTCTTTCCTTTGTCAGGAGCTAGGTAGGGCCAAAGGCCCTTCCAGATCCTGTGGACAGAAGGAAGAACACTGAGCTTTTGTTCCCTGCCAGGGCCATTCTTGGCAAGGCCAGCAATGGTTTGGTGCCAGGGCTCTGGGGGGCCGAGGCCAGGGCCCAGAGATCGACGGTTCCATGTAAAGTTGTAGTTAAATATTACAAACCCTGAGATATGAAATATTTTGCTTACTGTACCAGAATGTACCTTGCAAAAGAGGAGCTAGAGTTCCCTGAAATTCTCCTGCTGGGTGAACTTCACTGATTTGTTTCCTGCCTCCCCATTTGAGGGGTATGTAAGGAGCTGTGATACTAATAAACTGGCTGGCTGGAGTCGTCAGCCCTCACAGCCCTCCTGACCCCAGCTTTGGACTTTATTTTTCTCCTCTCTGGTCTGCCCCCTCAGAGTCCCAGTGTGAACCCAGGAAGAACAGGTGGTCTGGTTCGCCCCCTCTCATTTTCCTTCCAAAGGTCTCTCTTTGACCTTTAACCCAATAGCTACCTCTCCTTTTTTCTAGCTTCCCATTGGGATCCTCATCATTGTCTAAGAGTATTGTGTACATTGTATGGCAGTATTTGGTCCCTCCCATCACATGTGCCCTTTGGCAGTGCCAGGAAATTTTCCGCACTCCAGCAGCCAATCATTGTTCTTATTGTGGAGGAGAAGACATTCCTGGGGGGTTATTATGTAAGAAACCGTTGGGATTGGATTGTCAGCAGTTACCCAGTCCTGTCCTTTCCTCTGCTGCTACCTCTGCTCTGAACTGAGCTCTCAACTCTCAACCTCAGCAGGATGCTAAGCTACTTCTTCCTCCTGAAGGCACTTCTTGCTCTCGGGTCCCTGGCATCCTGGGTAACTGCAGGAGAGCACGGTGAGCTATCGTCTGGGGTCCTTGGCTAAAAGTAATAGAAAGTTTCCAGGGGAGAGATCATCTCCTGCCTTCTAAGGCTTCTCAGTTGTGGAGCCAGTCATCACCTGTAGGAAGAACTGGATGGAAAGGTTGTCGGGACAGTAAGGATAGGTTGGCTTGGTTTTTGGTGCACTCTCTGCAGCAAGGAGTTAGGTTTTATAAGGATATACTTTCCAGCTATCTTCTAGAGCTCATAAAATGAGGAGAGGGCCACGCAACAGCCCCCTTGGTCTGTCTGTCTGTCTGTCTCTGCAGCACTACTGGTTTGCCTGTTTTTTAGTAGTCGTGGGGGTGTGTATCTGTGTGGCAAGAAGAGAAGGCCTGCAGAGATAATCTGCATAGGAATGCATGGAGATGCCGAGCTCCTCCAGATATGTTTGCCTCGCATTCCCTATTTTTTTATTTTTTAAAGATTTGAGTAGATGGCCGGGC